AACATTTTTTATGCAGGTAGAGAGCTGGGATTCTATATAGTAAATACAAAGCACTGGGTTTGATTCCTATCACCAGAAAACAAAATAAAAAGCAGTAGAAGCTGGGTATGATAGAGCAGGCCTGTCATCACCAAATTCAGAGTGCAGAGGCAGGAGGATCAGGAGTTCAAGGCCAGCTTCAGGTACATAGTGAATTCCAGATTAGCATGTGCTACAAGATACCTTGTCTCAAAAAAATAAAACAAAACAACTAAAAATTAAAAAAAAAAAAAAAAACCCAGGCTGGAGAGATAGGCCAGAAGTTAAGAGCACTGATTACTCTTGGAGAGGACCTGGGTTCGAATCCCAGAAACCACATGGCAACTAACAACTGTCTGTAACTCTAGTTCCTGGGGGTCTGATGCCCTCTTCTGATCTCTGTTGGCATTACACGACATGGGTGCACTTACGCACATGCAGGCAATCTGCATTCACTTACTAAATATTTCCAAATAGAAGAAGAGAAACTAAGTTACACTAAATTCTTTAAGAGTTTGAGTACATAAGAGAGTCATGAATCAATTGGGCAGCTCCAGAATGCAAGCTGTTTGAGGCTCCACCATAGGGAAACAAGACAAAGACTTTTACTGAGACAGGGAACAAGGCAAAGGAACTATCTGATGGCTTTAAATGAAGCAGTAGTCTTATTCAATGATCCCAATGGAAAGTCCTCAGGTAGAGGTCAGCTAGTGGTGAAGCTTAAGTTTTTTCTTTGAAAATGACAGTTTCCACTGAGTTAAGTTTTGGTTTGCTGACATGGGAACCCATAGCAATGGAACCTCCTCAGGCAATGATTTCCCAATTATTTTAATACAGGAAGCTGTGTTTTTTCTCTCTTTCTTTCCTTTGACCACCACGAAGCTCAGAACTTACTCTGTGGGCTACCTTTAGTAATTGTACTAAAAAATAGAAAATAATGTACAATTTTTCACAGAACACATTTCAGTGTGACTCATCCTTATCTTGCTATTTAAGCTTCATATTTTCATGACCCTGATTTATCGTTGTTATTATATCATATATGGTTTATAAGCTACCTCAAATACTTTTGGGACAAGATAGAGTTCAAATTTAAAATTATAAGCAGTGTAGATAAAATGGCTACTAGAAAGAAAACTAGATAATAAGATAGGAAGAAAACAATATCCACTGATCCCTCAGATCATCCTAAGATTTAAGACTTTTTAAAAGAAATATAAATCATGGTCTTGGCCTTCAACAGTTTATAATCAACCTTATAAGAAAAAAATTCAGTTGAAAAGAACATTAAGTAGTAAAATACAATATAATCAGTGATAAATTGTAAAATCACTGTTTAAATCCATTAGCATGGATTAAAGTAATAATTTTAAGTACTGTCATTAAGCCTTTCCTAGGTACCAAGAACTATGGCAACTCAAATCCTCAAAAAAATGTTACCATGATTTTCTCTACCAATGAGTAAATTGATATAGCAGATAAGTAACTTGCACAAGGTCATAGCTTTTCAAAGTGATGATCTTGCCAAAGGTGTTCTACAGGAGCACTATAGTACACTATAGCCTGTGCTCTTGAGGAATTAAGATTTTGGCTAATCCCAGAATCACAAATTGAAAGGAAGCCATAGGACAATAAAACCAATGGGGGAACAGGCTGAAATGGCCTAGAGAGAACAAGTAGAGAGCCTGCCTAGAGAGCAGACTGAAGACTACAGGAGAATCTGGGGAGCAGGGAGCAAGCCATTGACAAATAGCTTTAAAACTTAAAAGAAATCCCATGGAAACAGTGAGCAATAGCAAACCATTACAGGTTCTAGAACCCCAAAAGGATGATGAAAAGCTCTTCTTGGAAAGATATTACACCAAATGAAAAAAATCTAACTTCAAAGCAGAACTATTAGTAATTACTCTTCTTGGCTCCTATAGACCACTGGGAGCTCGATACACCAGGCCTAAAAGGGTCTTTGCTTCTACATAGTTTTTATCACTCTCTTCCCAAGCAGGATGCTTTCAGAGAGCACATATCCATTCCCGTATTCTCTAGTTGTTTTATACCTAGTCTGCTTGGCCCCCCAAAGATATTTGTTTTCAGCTTACCATCACCAAACAATCTCTACAGCTCTTGGTTTCTGTTATGGATGCTGGTTATGATTCAAACACAACCCCTAAAGTCCAAAATAAATCTTGAAGCTTCAAAGATATTAATATTCAAATAAAGCCCAGTCTGAAGGAATCTACTTGCATAAGTTTTACTTGTTTTTCCTAAAGGGATGCTTACATTTCTCAGAAATGGATTGAACATTAAGAATGGCTATCAAGACATAGTTTGTGCTAGCTGGGCATAGTAGTACACGCCTATAAGCCTAACACTCTGGAGGCTGAGGAAAGGGAATAGTGAGTTCTGCATCAGACTGGTAAGACCCTATCTAAAAAAGGGGGAGAGGGGCTGAAGATGTAGCTCAGTTGGTAGAGTGCTTGCCTAGCATGTTCAAAGCCCTGGGTTCAATCTCCAGCACATCAACTGGGTGTAGTTGTACACACTATAATCCTAACACTTGGGAAAGAGAGACAGGAGGATCAGAAACTGAAAGTCAGACCTAGCTACACAGGGAACTCAAGCCAACCTAGGCTAGAAATCCTGGAGGGGTGGGAGAAGACAGAATTTGTTTGAAAGCATTATGTCTGACTTAGTTGCCTCATCATGTAGCAAGGTCTGTTCATTTATCTTAATCTTGTAATAGTCCATACTTAAATCAATCAAGCTTAGAACTATTTCAACTAGTTTCCTCAATTAAAAACTTAAAATATAAGAAACAATTTTGTTTATGTTCATTGAAATACAGTGCAGGCTGGCCTCAAGTTTAAGATTGTACAGCCTCTACCTATCAAGTCCCTGGATTATAAGTATAGACCATCCAGTTCAAGTATGTTTTTAAAACTCTGTACTTTGGAAAACATTGATTTTCTCAATACTCATGTTTTACTTTTTGGCTATGGTTTTCATTTTGTGTAACCTTTCCCTGCTGTCAACATTTGACCCTTGGAAGCAATGAGTAACTTTTTGGGATCCCAAAATAGGTGAGTACTATATAGGGCCTATGTTCTCTAATCCTAACAACAATAAATTAGGTTTTTGCCATTAGCGTGGAAGCCACTGTCAAATTATAGTAATGATTCTACGATTCAAAGTATGTTTTTTTAAAAACCAGTAAGCCTTTGGCAAAGAATTATTGAACCCAGAAGGGGCAAGCTAAATGGTAAAATACAATCAAACCATTGGGAAAATGAGTACAAACGCTGAAGAAAAAAATGATGGCCCTTGTAACCTGTGGTGGTGTCAGGAGCCTTAGCTACTTCAAAGAAGCTGAGGCAGGAGGCTAGCTGTGAGAGAATGCCTGTGTTGCCCAAAGCCAGCATTATCAGTCACTTCCCTCCCTCGCAAGAGGACTGTTTGTTGAGACAGCCTATCTCCTTGAGCAAAGGGTCCCAAGAAGTGATCATAAACCCTCTGTCACTCAAGATAAACCAGAGCAAACCCTACCAGGAAGAAGAGGGCCATTAGCAGCCATAAACATCTCAAGAGTGTCCCTGATCTGCAGACAGTCTGCCAGCCACAGCTATATCCTATAAAGGCCTGAACAGGCCCCTCCCCAGGGCAGCAGTGGATTCCAACATTCGGGAAGGCTGCTGTCTGCTGTCCCTCCCTGAGGACAGCCTTGTCTGCAAGCTTAAGACCCAGATGTTCAAGACCAGCCTGGACAACCATATGACAGCCCCAAATCAAAACTCCAGGTGTGTGCACACCTGTAATCCAGGCTCTTGGGAGGTTGAGGCAGGATTGCTCATAATGTGCAGCTAACCTGGGCAACACAGGACCAGACCAGTCAGTGATTACATGGCAAGACACTCTCAAAACAAACAAAACCACAATCTTTTGTAGGTTTTGTTCCTCAGTTGAAGAATTTGCATCTGGTCAATAACATGTAACTGTAGAAATTAACCATTATGTCAAAATATAGCCCCTAGATACCTAAATTACCAAGTGCACCTGTTAAATAGGGCCCCATGTTGATTTTAAAAGAACATGTGGCCACCTTTTGTCTCACTACCAAGATTTTCATAATATTTCTACGACTCAAACCACGTTCTTTAAAAACCAGTTAACTATTCCCTAGCACCTTCCCCCACTTTGTGATTTTGCACATTATGGGGCGTGTTGGCTACAAACAGCATGTTATTCCTCCAGGCTTAAGTCAGAAACCCCGACTGCAGTCACTTAGCCTTTGTTTCAACGTCACGTGGGCAGAGGCTGGCTTTCCAGGGAACCTTCCTAGCACATCCCGACACAAGGAGCTGATCCGGGGAGAGGCCTCGGCCCTCAAGAAGCGGCGGCACGGTCCCTGCCCAGACCAGGCCTGCCTTGGAGGCCTCGCCGCTTCCCCCGCCGCCCACGCCTCCCACCTCCGGGAGGAGGGAGAGTTAGGCGCGGGCCGCAGAGGCGGAGCCGCCGCGGTGGTGTGGGACTACTCACCCGGCTCCGCTCCGCCAGACCAGCAGCCGGAGGCGGACCGGGCGGGGCGGGGCGAGGGTGGGGAGTGCGGCGGAGGCGGACAGGCCCAGAGGCCCCGCGGCCCTGGGGAAAGAAGGCGGGTCTAGAGGACCACGAAAGCCCTCCCGCCCGTAGCGAAGGCGAGCAGGCGCAGTGGGGCCGCCAGACGCCGCGGGTGACGTCGCAGCTCGGGTCTGGGCGGGCCCTGGCGGGCAGTCAGGGAGAGGGGGGTGGCCAGACCGCTGCCACCTGTGCTCCTGTGGCTTCCCCCTGTGCTCCTGTGGCTTCCCCCTGTGCCCGGCTTTCCCGGAAGCTAACCCTGAGGGTGCCCAGCACCGGTGACCCAGAGACTCCCTGGGGAGAAGCAGGCGGGAAGAGGGGACTTGCACACTCAGCGCCAGCAAATTGTCTAATAGCCTGAATATAGAGGAATGACCAGTGAAGAAAGTAGAGAAAGAGCAAAGATGCAGGGCCACAGGCATCCCCCTAGGAGGTCTGAGTGCCCCACCTATTACATACACCCCAGAAAGTTAGGAAAGCTCCCGCACGGTGAAACACGAGCCTGGTTATCATGGCCTACTTAAAACTGAAGGCTGGGGTAAGAAGGAATTCAAGTACCGACAGCTACCATTTGTAGCACATATGTCAGCAAATAACAATCAGCAAAATTAGTTTTAAAATTCATTTTAAAAATAATACTGTAAAAGGAACTCCAAACTAAAAATTTTTAGTAACTATGAGCTAATTGTTAGCTACTAATTTAAATTATTCATTTGACTTGGGTTAGCCAGGAGCTCCAGATTCTCCTACTTCCACTTCCTGAATGTTGGGATTACAGCCCTGCAACATTTTACTCTGCTTCTATTTGACTTTTTTTGAAATACAAGAGGTTACTTTGACAATGGGGCATGGTAGCTCAACTTGCAACCCCAGCACCCAGTAATCGCGGGAGTTGGGAAGCAAGCTTGAAAGAACAAAGCTTTCACATACAAAAGGAGAATGTGTTATTTTACCTTACTATTGTACTTAAAATGTTATACTTTTCATGTACCAATTATGTTAATTTAAACGACTCTTAGGCCAGTTTTAAATTTTATGATTCACCTACCCAAAACAGAGAAACATGGAAGTAATTCAGGTCACCTCCATATACTTCCCTCAATGATTCTGGCTTGTATATGTGTTTACCATACAGCACTTATAAAGTTCCTGAGGACATTGGTTCTTAATCATAGAATTCCTAGATTCATGAAAGACTCACCAGTACTTCTTGAATAAAACAATGAAGTAATCACAAAAAGAGAGGATTAAAGCTCAAATTTATTGAACACTACTACTACTCATAGGCTTTGGTTTGTCTCATATTTTGAATGTCACTCTTCTTTCTGATTTCTTGTGTGTTTGTTTTTTAAAACAACCTTCCTATATACGTCTTATGGACTCATTGTATAGCGAAGACTGGTCTTGAACTGGTGGCAGTCCTCCTGCCTCAGGCTTCTGACTGCTGATATTACAGGCATGACCCACCACACCTGGCTGAATGTCCATGTTTAACACAGGGCCTCCTAGAAGTTGAAACTTTGTCCTTTTTTATTTTGATCTTTGTTTTGGTTTCTCAGGGCTTATTCAAAATGAAAGAAAAATGGGGTTATACATTACATTAGAAGGCATTTCCAGGGCTGGAGATGCACCTTATGTACAGAGTACCTGACTGGTATGTGTGAGACCCTGAATTCCATCCCCTGTACCACACACACA